AATCGAATTGGCAAATTTATGCAAATTAGACGGCTTGCGGACGGTTGTCAAACTAAAAAGAAAGGTTTTAGATGAAAGGATTACTCACCATTGCTTGTAACACGTTTTTACGGCAAGGAAAGTTATTTCCAACTTCTGTTGCGTCGATTTGAGTCACAAAATCCATAATTTTAAGCCAAAAGGTCCAAAAGACAAACGTACGTTTGCTCAGCGACTGCGCCAGAATCCGGCCGTGAATCGAAATAAAGTCACAACACGTCACTGCGGTCCTTTGGAAGCAAGAGTTGCAAGAGTTTTTACTTCAGTCAGGAGGCCAAAAGATTGAAAATTCATCGCAAACTAATGACTTCCATTTTGAAAACCTTTCATCACTTCAATCGTTCGTCGGCTGATAATAAACATCGCACAAGATCGTATGACCTTTGGCGTGTGACCGGAAATCGGTCACACGCTTATGTCACGTTAGCATACTGTCACGAATTTTAATACGATTTTTCACGTTTACTTTCGACAAAAAATAGACTCATCGAAATAAAATCAGGCCTGCTTTATTTGTTTGTTTGTTTTTTAATTTCTTTTATAGCCTGCAGAACTTGTTCCCCATGCATCGCGCGTGTCTCGCACCCCCAGTCCGCTTCGCAGTGCTAGCATGAAAAGCGCAAAAAACTGAAATTGACTCCTGTTCTGCAGTTGATTTCTTTTATAGACACCTTCTAGGCATTGACAGGCTGTGAAAAAAGTGTATTTTTCTTCTTATTATTTTTTGAAGTGCTACATCATTTTCCTATAAATTTCAAACGTGACTGCTAAAAGACTGTTTGGAACCCATGGATGGAGAAAAGCTGTGCCGGAGAGAAGGTCAACCTCCCAGCCGAGCCAACTTTTGCGAGCGTTTGTATGAGGAAAAAACTGACCACTTTGTCCGAGTCAACAGTGCTTGCGCATGCTGTCTTTGTCTAGCCTTGACCGTGTCGTCCCAGCTAGCTGGGCGAGCCAAAGTGAAGAAATATTAGCCGGGCTAGAAGGGTGAGGCCACCACTACCGGCTCAGTGGAGGGCTGACTTCCGGAAGCCCTCAACCCCGCCCACTACTGGTAGTAAGGCGTCTATCCGAACCAACCTTTTGTTTCTCATATAAATGGTTTACCAAGTTTTGTAAGGAAATGGATGAAAAGTTGGCTCGCCCAGGGTAGCTTGGTTGGTGAGTAAACACCAGATAACCCCAATAATAAGCACAAACTTTGATTGTCAGTCAGAGATGTCCACTATTTTAAGTAAGCGACCTGGCATGTGATTGTCGCATCCATGCCCCCTTCCAGATCCCCTTTATTATCGGTAAGCCTCTGATAGGTCAAAGTAATACAGTCGTACCTCCAGTAGGCGACCACCAAAAATGCAAAGACTTAATGGTCTCTAACGGGAGGTGGCCGTTTAGAAGAATCGGACCACATGGGGTCTATTCCGAGAAGAGGTCCGGTGTAACAAATTCCTGGCAAAATATTATCTTTTACCTCTTTTGAAAAATACAGCTTTTAAATCATGCTCAATTTAAAGAGGGATTCAGGTGAGTGAGATATAGAATAGTCTAGAATCACAACAGAATCTTCACTTTGTTGGCTACATCTACTAAGTTAGGATATGTGTAGTTCCACGATGTCACTAAAGGTCTTTATATTTTCCAAGGAACATAGTGCACACAGCAAAAATAGAGAGCAGAGAATGCGTCAACTGGTCGCTTATGGAAAACAATTAACCATGACGCCCAAAAAGTGGTCGCAGTCACTTACAGAAGGTCGTTTACTGGAGGTTCCAAATATAAGGCTTTGAATGGGAAAATTTGGTCTTTTGGATTGGCGGTCGCACATGGAGGTTCGACTGTGTTAGGTCTATTAGAGTATGAGCCACCATCACCTCACTGTGAGTGACGAGAGTCAGGAACGTATAGTATACACTCCCTTAGGATGCACAGAATCGTTGTTTTGAGGTCCCGTTTAGCGAAATGGATCATTCAAGGGAGGTGCTGAAGTCCCATAGTGAAATTTATAAGGCTTATGGGTTTTTAGTGCAAGGCGAAACACAATACTTAGGGCACTGTTGTTCAAACGTTGAACAACAGGAAATCACTATCAAGCGAATAAGAAGAAGCAATTGCGTTACTTATTGGATATAGATTTATCCAGGGGAAAGCGTTAGTCCCGGGGGCGTTAGTCAACTTTTCGAACATACGGCCCCTAAGTCACTCTCCTCCGAAGACTTACCCTGGGCGACCAGGATAGGGGAATATAATACTCGACCTTCCTTGCATCATCGCGAAAGCCTATAGCCTTCACTTTCTTTTGGCTCGTCCTATAATCCTACCCAACGTTCGTGGGATAGGAAAGTCTGCGTGCGAGGCTTGGGAATCTAGGGAGACTATGGTAGCATGGTGCAAATAGCCGGGATGAGCTACTTTATCCACACGAACCAAGAGGATTGTGTCTGCTAGAAGAAATCAGATGTAGCTTTCTGTGATAAGTAATATTCCAACAGTATAGGATCATAGTTTGAAGCCATTTCACAATCACTAGTTTCCGCGCACCTCTACCGGCGAGTTGTGGACAAAAGCAGCTGATAGCTGTATACGAACCTTTTTTCCACAAAATGGTTTCTGGGTTTTCGCATTCGAAAGTGTCATGTATTGATTTTTTAAAATCTTAATCGAGGTCTTTTTTATTATGTACTGTCTATCTGACTGACTGTTTCTTTGTGTTTTTTTTTTCTGATAATAACAGGTTTCATAATTTGGTCGCGGTTGGGGTTATAGGCTCCTGACCGTGAGCAAATAGCGAAAACCAAAGTAAACTATAGCGTTGAATCCGTTGGCCACGGAGAATTGGTATTATTCTGCAAGTTCTTTACTACAGCAAGAGAGTATACTCCCTTGACTATGGGACATTTGGCCGGGGGAACTTAGTATTTTGACCCGGCATAGGGGAGGAGGGGAGGGGGAGGGGGTACCCTGGCCAGATTCCAAGCCACAGGGATGATCGAAGTATGTTTTTTTCTTGGTTTGAAAATATTTTGAACAAAAAAATTTTTTTTTTAGCTTTGGCTTTACTTAAGTATTCAAAATATTCGTTCTTTTTTGGTCTTGATTTTCGCTTCCACGGGTCACTCACGACACTTGGAATCCGAGGTACCCCTCCTGTTTAGTACTTCGAAGGCAAAAAAGCTGTTTCCAAGCCTAGTAGGTAAATAAAAGAAAAATAAATATGCATGGCTGTTTCTACTGCGATGAGGGGAGTTCTTGTCAAAAAATGTGAAAACTGTATTAAAATTGCTGACAACAGCTACGAAAATTTCGTGATAGCATGCTGACGTGACTGAAGCGTGTGACCAATTTCCGGTCACACGCCAAAGGTCATACGATCTTGTGCGATGTTTATTATCAGCCGACGAACGATTGAAGTGATGAAAGGTTTTCAAAATCGAAGTCATTTATAGTTTGCGATGAGTTTTTATTCCATTTGCCTCCTGACTGAAGTAAAAACTCTTGTAACTCTTGCTTCGACGCGTTGGGACTTTCGATTCACGGCCGGATTCGGACGCAGTTGCTTAGCAAACGTACGTTTGTCTTTTGGCTAAAAATTATTTATTTTGTGACTCAAAACGACGCAAAAGAAGTTGGAAATAACTTTCCTTCCGTAAAAACGTGTTACAAGCAATGGTGAGTAATCCTTTCATCTAAAACCTTTCTTTTTAGTTTGACAACCGTCCGCAAGCCGTCTAATTTGCATAAATTTGCCAATTCAATTGCTCTCACCGCTTGCTTTGGTGTCAGGATGATATTTGATTTCCAGAGCTAAAACTTTCCAGTAAGTTAGTACAAAAGCCAAGGTTCCATTTTATATTGATTTTATGATCAAGCGGCATATACCAGAGGCCTTTTTTAATAGTCAAAGTTGGCCTTCATTTTCTAGCACGTCTAACGTCACAAATATGACCTCTTTACACTTGTCGATTATAAAAATGTGAAGCATTGTTTATCAAATTTTCTTTTAGGATTTTCAAGAGTAAGAACAAAATAATAATTCGGTGAAGTTTCAATGTCAGGGAATGTTTCTTACGCGTTCACCCTTCTCTCGAAGTTGCCATTGCATCCTGCCGTGTTTTGTGCGAAAAACGGGCATAAAATCGATTTTTCAAACTTTTCCTAATTTCTCCTTTACAATGAATCGTTTGAACCCAAAACTATTTTTCCTTAAATAAGGTCACTAAAAGGGATGTTTTGGCAAAATAAAAAAAAATTCGATTTTTTGACGAGTGTCTTGCGATTCTCGATTTTCTCAGATAATGGCTCTTAAGTGATTGGTGTTTGAGATTGTGGAGCAGTTAACGTTGTTCCTTTAAAAACCAATAAGTTGGCTGGCTTTGGACACTAGCTGTTTAATATGCTTATTCTACGTAATTAATGTATTTATAATCAAGACGCTAAGATTTCTTTCCTTGTGGACTAATTTTTAGTAAGTTCCGTTCAAGCAATAGGTACGACCAGGCTCCATCAGTGCCATTGGTTTTCCTATCGGCTTATCTACAGGTTGTGACATTTTGTTCGTTTGAGTAAAATACGTTAAATCACAACGACTGATGTGAGTGTAAAAGAAACTGCTAAGTGGGATTTGAGATTTTTTAAAAAAAATATCTACGATTTATATATTATCCTAAAAGGTGTAGTACGCCCTAGAAGTGGATAGAGAGTATTAGCGGTCTCTTTACAGGTGAAGGAAAACCCTTCCTCTCTTTGCTTCAAGCAATGCGCTCTCTGGGTTGCTCGAATTTTGGAGGTAAGAAGATATCCCGAATCCCGTTCGCCTTGTAAAGGCCTTTAGAGACTACCATACATTGGTTAACATTAGCAGTTCAATTTAGAAACCAGTTGCCTACCACTGTTCACTGATAGAAAAGTTAGGAAATATTCATTGCCTCTTTGCTCGTTGCGACTTCAATAAAGTATAACCTTGTATGTTTCTCCATCCGGAACTTCCTTTAGAGATTAGATCACGAGGACGCTTGGCTGTGGAAGCTTACAACAAGGCCCTCACTGAAGGGAAGGCATATGTCAAGAGGGTTCCAATAATGTTGATTGGACAAGATCACTCTGGAAAAACCAGACTAAAAAAGTCACTCATAGGAAAACCTTTCAATCCCAATGAAGACAGCACCGTAGGGATAGATGTTGACCCCTCATATATCAAAGTTTCAACTGAGATTTGGAAGGTGGGGGATAACACAGAGGGTTCTGAGTTGACAGGTGCTATAGAAGCCACTTCCTTTGAGCAACAAGCGGCTCGTTTGGTTGCTGACGATTTAAAGGAAGAACAGAGCGGTTTTGTAGTGGAAAAAATAACGATGGAAGAATCTAGATCTTCAAATGTGTCCGTCTCTAATGACCCAAATCAGTTGCCTTCTGAAGAGTTGGGTGTTCCAGAAGTCACTCCTAAAATCTTCTCTGATTCCTCTCTGAAAAAGGAAGTACGTCTCCCTATCGAGTCGCCCAGGATACCAGATGAGGTCGCAGCATTGATTAAAAAGTTGCTGAAAGAGGATGAAAACGCACAAGATGATGACGAAATTTATACCATTTTATGGGATTTTGGTGGACAAATTGTCTACTATACCACGCATCCACTTTTTATCACTGCAAGAGCAATGTACCTTTTGGTTTATGACCTTAGCCGGCGCGGGATCCATACGAAATAGCTAAGCCAGTTGTGAAGCAGGGGCTGTACAAGAAAATTTTAGACAGTTATGGCACGAAAATCAATCGGGACTATCTCAATTTTTGGATGACATCCGTGGCTTCCCTAGCCACTGAAACGGAAGAGCAGTATGTAAGGTTGGACCGTATTCAAGTGAAGGTTCCTCTGGTGTTCCTAGTCTGCACTCACGCTGATGAACCCAACAGAGGAACAGATCCGTTCGCGCTCGCCCGTGAGGTATTTGGCAGTCTACAGACCAAACGCTTCAGGAACCACCTATATGAGGATGTGTTTGTGGTGGACAACACCAAGTCTGCAGGACTTGGAGCTGAATGCTCAGAAGTTACACGATTGCGGGAAGAATTGCTTGCCGTTGCTAAGGAGCTACCTCTGACGAAAGAAGCCATCCCAATCAAGTGGTTGAAATATGAGAGGGCTCTTCAAGGCACTATACGAGATGGTCATAAATGGATTTCTCTCTCAGTGGCAAAAGAAATTGCATCTGAAGTGTGCAAAATTGATGATGATGAAGAATTTCTCACATTGTTGAACTTTCTACATGACCAGAGGATTTTGGTTCACTTTGACGACACCCCAGCGTTGAGTAATTTTGTCGTCTTGGACCCTCAGTGGTTAGTTGATGTCTCCAAAGCGGTGATAACAGTTAAGTCGTATGACCAAGAAGAAAGTAAATTTAAAGAACCGTGGTTGCAACTGGAGTCAACAGGCATTCTTGACGAAAAACTTTTGAAGCACGTGTGGGGTCCTTTATTAAGCCAGGAAGAAACCTCCGCTAGTCTTCTTGCTATCATGGAAAAGTTCAGCCTGCTCTGTCCATGGCCTTGTTCGAATGCTTCAAGTGGAAAACAGTACCTTGTGCCATCCATGTTGATGTCACATCCACCAAAGGAGATCATGAAGCTGGTTGCTTCTGCACAAATTCCTTCTCTCTTCCTCAGGTTTCAATCGGGTCAGGTTCCTCCAGGATTCTTTCCCCGACTAGTGTTACAATTTTTTCAGTGGGGCCAAGACGAGTTTTGGAGTGCAGAGAATCCCCAGTTGTATGCTGATTTTGCGCGATTTTATACGTCTGCGGATGACGACTGCTCTGTAATCCTTCTATGTCATTCATCGTGTATTGAAGTTGTGGTTCACAGAGGAAATCTCAGTGCTAACCCAGCAGAATGTTTGCAATCCAAGTTGAACCTTTCTGCAGATATCAACTATGGTGCATTTGAAGTGGCCTGTGCTCGTGCCGTGCGCCGACAACTGGGATTGATGCTTGAGTGCATGCGAAAAGAATTCTGTTGGTTGAAGAATATGATGTACGAACTTGGTGTAATCTGCCCCGTCTGTTGCCAAGAATGTAAGGTTAATTACTGCTGCACCCACCACAAGCAGTGTTGCGAGCAAGAGGAATGTCTGCACTTCTGGTCTGAGTCTGATTTACGTAGTGCCAATCAGTTCATCAGATGTCGTAAGTGTGCAGCCGCCCAAAGTGACAAAGTGTAGGTCAAACAATTTGCGCCTTGGTTTGATCCCTTAGATGAACAGGTGAATACACTTTCACTACCATGTCGTTATTTACCGCTTCTCATGAACCTGTTAGATCTTTTACAGAACTTCTGAAAGCAGACCCGACTCACCAGTCAATTTTTAAAGTGTCTAAACATCACAAAGAATGTTGCTGAAGACATTCTTGATATTTCAGTTTGCTAAAGCGACCCTTAAATTCTCCGTTAGCAGTTTCGTTTAATGGCTTTAAATACTCTTTTTCCAAAGGCAACTTTGGTACACAGAATTGCTGACACAGTAGATTGAAATAGCCTTTGAGTATCCCTTCCGTCATTTTTTATTACAGATTCCAACTGACGAAAGTGAAGAAAGACGTCCAGGTTCTGGGGGAGGTAGGACTGTAACTTTAGAGTGACTAGATAATGTAAAAATTGTGCCAAGGTAGTACTAGCCTAAGAAAACAGCCGACATTTTTGCGAGTTCCCTGCGAAATGACGTCTGAGGAAAGAACGAAGATATTCCTTACTGATGACGTGTCTCTACACAGATGTGGGTAGCGATGTTCATTGGCTGACGCAAATTTTCATCCAATCACAAGCACGTGCACTGCCCAGATCTCGGTTGTGACACGTCATCAGTGCGGAATATCTTCGCTCGTTCTCGACTTGTAGACCATTTCGTCACTTCCAGTCCTCCCCTGAAAGTTGTGGGGGAACATAATTCGTCTATATTGCAAAAGCTTTCTAAATGATTAGAAGTCAACTTGACAAGGACTCTGGTGGCTCAAAAAAAAAAAAAACAAAGCTGAAACCTGTGAGCAGAGTATGAGGTTGGTAATTGCTTAGTATGGTACTAGTGTTGTTAAAGTTTGTTTCTTTCGCAGGAATTGATGAAAAAGTGATTGCTCTTCCAAGCAAGGCCATAGAAACAATCATGTCGCAGTCGTGTGACTCTAGAGAGGTTGTACTTCAATTGAGAGACTCTTTGCAACTGAATCAGGATTCACTTGAACAGCCAGACCCTGCGACCAAACGATTGATCCGTTGCCTGGCAAATAAAGCAAAACAGTCTAACAGGCTTGATGTAGTGAAACATCTGAGAGATATTGCACCAGCTGGAACTACAGGTGAGTTTGTTGCCGTGAAATATAGATAAATAAGGTAATATACATGTAATATTTTCTTGCAGTGCACTTGTTACATAACCTTCCTATTTGTCTCATCCCTTTTCACCTTACAGTAAGCCACCCCATCTAGCCCACGGTTGCCCATTATGACTCTTTAATATATATTTATTCATTATGTTAGGTCCTTTGTTGCCTGAGCACCTTGATATTGGTAATATTCCCGTTCGCCAGATGACTGATCTCACTCTTGAGTTAAGCGGTAAGCGTAATTATGCTTTGCAGTTGCTGAGTCGATCAAATCTCAGAATTATTGATGCGGATGGTTAAGCCAGCCTGATTGATATCTCAATAAGGGGACTTGTTTGTTATGGACAGTTTAGATTTAAGACAGAGAGATCTCTTTTTCACCATAACTTTTTCATTACTTAAATGAATGTAGATTTACAAATTTCAGACGACATAAGAACTCAATTAATTAATAATTTTGCTCATTGTAAATACAGCTGCAAATGTTCTCATTGGTGAAAAGCACATAAACGGCTTGTTCACGCTGAGTCCTAAGTCGAATTTCAGACGTTTCGTAAAAATTGCACCATTGACAGACTTCATATACCACGTGCACCCTGCTTATAAAGTCTTGGGCTGTTGCACTCTCTTTAATGACCTATATGGAGTATACGGGGAGGCTCTGCCTGAAAGAGGCACCTTTTCAGGCTTCAGGTTTTTGAAAGGGTAGGGAGTTCACTTGTTGCTGTTGCTGTCATTTTGGTTGGTAAAAAGGCCCAAAAGAACAACCAGATGTATTTTATGACTGTGAAAAAGGGTGAAGGGTTGGAACTCGGGGCAGAGTCTCCCCGTATAAGATATTGTTGAATACCCCTCGGGGTATAAAGGAAGAAGCATTTGATTTCACAAGGAGAGTTTTTTTGAGGACAAGTCGCTGAAAATTACCTTGAAAGGATTAATTAGAGTCAAGTACTGATTATATGATTTGACAGTTGTGGATCCCGTTTCATATGAAAGCAAAGATCTCAAGCTTGAGGTCTCAATTTACTTTGTAGGGGGAGAGGAATGGAAGTTGGTGGCAGACGAACTGGGATTGTCTCCAAGAGAGATTCGTTATATTGACAAGCGAGTTATGAATCCATGCGAAGCCGTTCTTGCGTATATTTCAAGGCAGTACTCAATAAGCGTGGGTGAGCTGTACGACAGGTTAAACCAATGTGGGCTACCTGTGACAGCTGACCTTCTTTAATGATGTCATATCACAGCTTTAGAAGTAGATTTAGTAAAAGCGAAATTCTTATGATGTGTATTTTTTGACCATTGGTGTTCTGGCGTTGATTTTGATTTACTGACTATTCAGTAGTTAATCCAAAAGATAAGTAAATTATAGCTTCATATTTTTAGACATAGAGCTCAATAATTGTATCATTAATCATTTTATATAATTTTTATGTGAATCCGCCATTAATGGCGGTGATAAAGCTGTCACAACATTCGCACGTTTATTTAGAGCGGATGTTGTGTCTATTTGAGACCCGGCCCCTCCAACAATGTAGCGCGAGATGGTGTGAACAGCCTGAACGCGTTAAACTTTGTAGCAACATTTCGATTCTTTGAAGCTATGTGACCTGCTCCCATTTTTTCTCTACTCGCGCAAACGCAGTGTAACTAAATGTGCATTGCAATGACTAACATATATTACTGCTGTCTGTTAGACATGTTCTGAAGTTTTCCGTCACAACAGCAGTCTGTGAGAATATTGTGACTATTTGACTGGGCCTTTATAAGGCTGTTATTCATGTAATCGTCCGGATCGCACCGCATCTCATAGAGGTGTTTATATCAACATCGTTCCCAGGGTCCCGTCCTACTCGCTCGGGGGAACTAATAGGAGGGGACCTTAAGAACGACGTTGCTGTTTCTATATGATCTTCTCTTTTCAGATACAGATAGGTTCTATTATCGACAGACTTCCTATTGGCGTATGTGTTTACAATGATGATAAAGATTATAGTAAAACTACTGTTTCACCGCTTAGCTATCTTATTTTTTGTCTTAGGTAAAAGTCACAGGGCAATACTGTAACCGTTTATTCTATTCTCACTTAGCTTTTCTAGCCCCTGATGAAGACTAGTTTTGTCCATTCGAAATATTGGGCAAATAAATTTGTAATCCTTAGCTGTCCGATCAGCCTTGCCCTCAATTTGTATAGGTAATAGCATGATTTGTAGTGATATTTGGCATAAATGGGTCATAAATACCACGAGTGAAATTGCACAATTGTTATACGAAATTTCACGAGCCGTTAGGCGAGTGAAATTTGAGACAATTTTGAAATATCACCAGTGGTATTTATGCCAAATATCACGTACAAATCATGTTATTATTTGTTTATACTACTACCCACAAAAGGTTTGTAATTTTCACATGTAGGTATTTCAAATTAAGCTGAAATACCACTGCTCTAAGCCAATCAAATTGCAGAAATTTCTCATGTAGTAGTATAATAGGTGTTAATTTGTATTGCTGATCCCCATCTACAACAAGATCCGGCTTTAGCTCGCTGTCGTTTGTCCAAGTGGTCCTTGCAAAAATTGTTCGCTAAAAGTCGCAGGGGTTAGTTATGTTACCGTGTGGAACGAAATTTTTGCGGGTTCCAATTTTTACGATTTTTCCAGCAAACCGCAAACATCAGTTCCTGCAATTAAAAATTACCGCAATCATTGTTCCCGCAAAAATTTACTCCGGAGTAAATATTCTCTAACTTAAATTCGCTACACAAAAATACGGTACTAAGAAATCGTGTCTGTTCTGCGTGTTTACGTCAAATGAGCAAATTTCACCACCAAACCTCGTTTTGAAATTGTAAAGTTGCGAAGTTTTACATAAAAGAATTCCCAAGGAAGTAAATTTGAAAAGAGTATCCACGCACAAAGAGTGTAAATGAAGGGAATTTTGATTGCAAACCAGGCTTGGTGGTGGAATTTGCTCGTCTGACGTAATCATACATAAGGGCCAATGGCCAACTTGCCTCTTTCATTCAGAAACAAAACGGTATACAGTGAATTTATTTACTGGTTTTACATAGGCTACGCGTTTGAAAATGTGTATTTCTATTGCACGTACTTAACAAAATCGGAAATATTATCAATGCTGGGTACTGGGTACTTTCTGAAAATCGCAAAAATTAATTCCCAGTAAGAAAAACCAATCTGTCCTAATCGCAAAAATAAGTTTCCGCGAAATAAAAAAATTGCCAATCCGCAAAAATTTCGAGATACACGGTAGGTGATAGACAGCAATTTTTTATATGAAAGCATGAAACCAAGTGAAACCTCGAGCCTGAGGACGAGTGGTTTGGAAAATAACTGTCGGTTGCATGAAAGAGGAAACAAATTGCACTCTCTACCCTCTCGGCCAATTAGCGCGCGAGCAATCGCTCGGTTATTGTAAAGAGACTTTTTTTAAATGCACCTTTTCCTCTCCGCGTATACAATCCCATACGTATTATTGGCCACCTGTCTTGTGTCTTTTCTCCTTACTTCACGCTTATCAGCTTTCAAAAAGAAGCCTTCGAGCCTTAAGAATCAAGATGAAAGATTGAATTGAGTTTCTAGCCTGTCCAAGAACTCTGTTTTAAGGGTTCTTGAACGGTAAGCAATTATCTTCGCCCCCGGCTACCTGAACACATGACATGATCCGGACAGTTATATGGAAATCAGGCTTTAGAGTTTACTTGGTAGAGAAACGCTTTGCCATAACAATAGCTTAATAACCACATAACAGTTCAATAACCACACAAGTAGCTCAATAACCACACATGAGTTCATTGACTGAAGACACCAACGGTAGTTTTTTTGTGTAG